CGAGGGAGTGCCAATGGCAGAGCAAGACGGCGGCTTAACGCGGCATACAGCGCAAACACGTAAGATTGAATGAACGAATGAATGAATGAATGAATGAATGAATGAATGAACGCATGAATGAACGCATGAATGAACGCATGAATGAATGAATGAATGAATGAATGAATGACTCAATCAATCAATCAATCAATCAATCAATCAATCTACCTATATATATATATTTTTTCCAGATGTATGTATAAGAAAATATATATATATATATATATATATGTATATATTTATATATTTGTATATATATATATGTATATGTATATATATATGTATATATATATATGTACATATGTGTGTGTCTTCTGTACATATACATATATATATATACACACACACATACTCATACATACTCATACATACATACATACATACAGACAGACGGACGGACGGACGGACGGACGGACAGACAGACAGACAGACAGACATAAATGAACGCATACACATACACATATACAAATATAACATATACATTTACATATACAGATACATATACATACACATATACATAAACATATACATAAATAAATAAATAAATATATATATATATGCGTGTGTGTGTGTACGTATGTGTATATGTATATATGTATATGTATGTATGTATATATATTATATATATAGATATATATAAAATATATACATACATACACATACACATAAACTTATAGGACGAGATTAGGGTTTCGGGGGGGTTAGCAAACGAATAAGGTCTTAGGGGTTCAGGGCTTGGGCGTCCAGGCCCTGGGGTTGAGGGTTAGGCAGTTTCGTTCGGTCAAAAAGGCGCGGTGCTGTTGGATCCCACGACATTCCGAATCCAAACATCCACCGGTTTAGGGTTTAGGGTAGTATCGCCAGGCCTCGGATGTAGGGACCTACTAAACCCCTCACCGTGCATCGTTCTGCGCATGCGGGGTCGTCATCCTAATTGCAGTGATCCTGCTGCACAGGGTCTTTGTTGGGGTCTCCACATGAACATCAATGGACATCAACATCGACAGCCCCACTGCTTGAAATGAGGCGCTCACAGGATGTAAACAAAGGTCTGTTCGTATGTTGCTCCTACCTGAAGAGAGTGGCATGCAAACAGTGCTGAAAAGAAGTCATCTACCTGGCTGCATGGTTCGTCGCGAGCGTCCTTCGAGACACGCAAGCAATGTTAACTTCATCGTTTGTCGTGAACGGCACTCAACTTTCAGTGTTTCCACCTCAAAGAAGTCGGCGACGGCTGGGGCTGAAGAGAAGTCGGGGACCTCCTGTCACAAAAGGCTGCCCGAGGTTCAGGGACTGGCAGCGGCCTAGGGGAAGATAAGTGTAGGGCCTAGGTTTCCGGGCTTTAGGGTTTCGGGGTGAGGGTTTGGTGATTTCAAGATTTCGGACTCTACGATGTACCGGGGTTTGCATCATGACACTCTAACTACCCACTATGACTGTTCCCATCTATGCCACTACCAGGATTGACAGAGTGTGAGCAATGACGTTGGGGCTACGTATGTTGAAGAAGTTGAAGACTGTCATACAGGAACCGAGCCATGAAACGCCAAAACCCTAAACACTGAACAGGAAACCCAGGCATCCTGAGTCAACAACATTCTGCTAGATTGATGAAGCCATTAGGACTAAGGGCATGGCCATGCACGGCTTCGGCTATGACTATGAGTAACGGACAACTTACAGTCAAGTACGACACGTCTCAATCGCAGACCATGTTGGGGGGAGCGGGGCCGGGGGGACGGGGGCAATCTGGCTGGCCTTTGTGTGGGGTCGGAGATGGTTGGAGAATTCTGACAATACAGATCCTGGTGTTGACCAACAGAAGGGCTTTAATAACCGGATTGGGTTGAACGATATCAGGCGGCCTCCCCGACATCCGACTTCTGCATCGCCACCACGGTGGCCAAGGCGATCTTTGCGGCCCTGTGCCGCACCCACCCTTGGACAACTTATAACCGGCTGGAAGTATGAGCCACAACGCTGGTAGCTCAAAAGGCTTAGTTTTTGGGTTTCGGGTTCTCGTTGACACTCGTTGTGTCTTGCAGGGTCCTCAGGTGTCTTGGGGCCTTGCTCGGTGGGTTTTTTGTGGTTTACAAGTGTTCAGCGCTAGTTCGGGTTTAGAGCTGAAGCTTTTAGAGCGAGTATAGAGTTTCTTGATCAGGGGTCGTAGTAGCCTCCACTGTCCTCAGGTGTCCTACTATGAGTTTCCCAATAAGTGGATAGGGATTTACTGATCAGCCCTAAACCCCTAATCCTGCGTCAGAAGCCGGATCAGCTCCTGAGCCCAATGCCTTTCATGCCAACTCCGATCCCCCACAGGGAGAGAGCCGGCGAGATGGCGATCGTGAAACACTCCTGCGTAAGGCTTGGGTTGAGGCCGCGAGGTTTGTTTAGGGTTTCATGTTTCGGGCTGAAGGTGTAGGGTTTGACATCCTTTCTTCGTCGTCAATTGGAAGGTCCTGCTTGTCTCCATGTTCCATGTGCCACCTGTTCATGAACTACACCTAAGTCCCCCCTCCTATAGGTTCCCCAGTGCCCCCCTTACATACTAAGGTGTCCGTTGAAACTAGCTTTCAGCTCTAGTCTGCAGAGCCCGGAAACGGGGTATCAAGGATACCAGGGAGGCTGGACTTGATAGGCCTAAGAACATGTACAGACAGCTCAAGATCTAAGCTCCAGTCGAAGATTTCCTCTGTTTCCACCCGAGGCTTCCGAACGACAGCATCTCAAGATCCTCCCCTAAACCCTAGATCTCCACAATCAGCAGCTTCAGCAATGAGTTGCGATCCTTGAGCCTGGAGCCTGCGCCAACAGCCTGGATCCCACAGGTCCGTGCCCGTAATGCACTGCTTTTTCACACACGGTCGGCCAAAGTGCTTTGGGCCGAAGCTGCTGCTTAAATCGGAACCGGTCTAGGTTCCTGACACATGCACTGGACCTACAATCTGCTGGCATTCTTCCCGGATCTAGGCCGCCGACTTACCACAGCCATGCGGCCTCTCGGACCCTCGGCATAAGTATGCACTACAAATACGAAAAACCCAGTGGCATTCTACTGTCGCAAGACATGTGATCTCCGGGGTCAGCAAGCCCCAGTCAAGTGGCATAGCGAGGGCTGCAGCACGCTGTCACGTGCATTAATGTGGAACCCTGGGTTCTTAAACCCGTTCCGTCGAGAGAAAGTTATTGGTCACAGACATAAAGTCTCTTAGCTTCAGGCTTTGAGCCTCCTCCGGCGATCACAGAAAGACAAAGCCGCGCCCGAGTAGCTTTGACTCTGCAAAGCGCCGGCTCTGCGAGCCTCTTTGAACAAGGCCAAGGCTTGACAGGCTCCGACATCTTGCCGGAGCACCCACTTGCAGCAGAGTTACTTAGAGCTGGCATCTTGCATTACTGCTGCGGTGATGCAGACCCCCAAAAACATTTCCGGGAATCCAAACACTACGTAGGGCTAGTCGCTAATAGGCTCTTAAATAATGGAGGTCCATCAACCAGGGCTCTAAGCTAGTCTTCCTCCTCGTCCTCTTCCTCCCCCTCCTCTTCGTCCTCGCCGTCGTTGCCACCGTCCTTTCCAAGTTGTTGGTCGAAAGCTTCGGAATCAGAGTACCGAAAACAGGAAATCCCGATTGGGTTTCTTGATATCGAGCACCCTGAGATGCGCTTCAAGCAGCCAGCACTGCCTCCTGCCGTACGGAATGGACTGACAGTCTGACATCGCTCCTTGCTGGTGAATACAAAATTAAAGCTTCTGGTGATGAAGCTGTTATGCAAACATTCCGACATGCATCCACAGAACCATGGCGGATCATCCTGCAACCCACGAGACCGAAAGTAAACCTGCCACGAAGGGTTCTCCGCAAAGGCCCGACATGGATCCGAGGCTCCCCACAAGCTGGAGTCAGGATCAGATTGTACCTGAAGTGAAGCGAGCAGCGTTGCTGTGACCTTCGTTTGAAGGTTGCTTGCTTGTGGCCTGCTGCGGAAAATGATGCAACAAGCTATCAAGGATGTGACGCGGATATCGACGGTTCTAGAGAGTCCTAGAGAGTGTCATTTTAAGTTGCCAAGACAAGGGAGGTGTGTCATCTCGCACGCCTCACTCTTGAATCCTGTACATCGTAGCGTGGTATCGTAGATACATTCATTTCCTTCACAAGAACTCTGTCTTCAGTGTCCAGTTGCTCCATCTCGACCTCCCTGAGCAAGTTCCGGGCTTCGTTGACATCGCCATCTCCTGAAGTTACAGAACAGAACCAAGCACTATGTGGACGATTGTGGATGCCTTACAGAATTGGACTGCCTTTTTTGCGTGTAGATGATGGTATACAATGACGTTGGTGGGACACTGCATGCCCAGGGTCACAAAAGGGATCCCTTCAAGAAAGTAAGCTTACTCGTTGCGGATCTTGGTCCAAAAGTTTGTCGTTAACACAAACTCAGGGTTAAGGGAAAGCCTCAAGCAATTACGTATCTTGCGGTCGCTTCACTTCGACCCGGGATCAACGGAGTGACATTTTTCTCGAGCCAAAGGAACCCCTAATAAAGGGGTTTCGGGTTTAGTTTTCAACATGCAGGTTTTCACGTGTTTACTCCCTCGATGAGAAATCCCACTTGGTTTCTTGGCATCACAGATCCCGCAAACCAAAGACAAGGACTGCCCTGAGCATCGCGCGTCCTCGAAGAAAGCCAGCAAAGGTTTCAGGCACACAAGACAAGCCCGCGGAGAAGCTTTCGAAGACTTTCACGCTGTCGCTCGTGTTTTGCAGCCTTCGCGTGGCAAAGGCCAGGATTCCAAACTCCACCCTGCGCCGAAGTGTGTGACACCCTTCGTCAGCTCAGCGATCTGTCTGAAGACCTAGCAATAATATCCTCTTATAGATACCACATAATACCTGAAGTCCGGTTCTACTTAAGCCTGTACCCAACTGCCGGAAATCTGCCAGCTGCGGATCGTAAGCCTCAATCTGCCAGCCACGTTGCAAAGCTACCTCGGGTTTGTCTGCCGATGCCGGGTCCTCTGTCAGCGTCATACTTTGTTTACTGCACATGCCCAGCCTTCCTTCTGGGCTGTGGGCTTTCTGCACCACCGGAGCCTGTGATCCCAAAAATCCCCTGAACTCTAGATGGCCTAGGCTTGTTGCAAGGGCATCCTTTCCGACATCTGATTTTCCCAGGCGTCCTGAAAGTTGGACACCAGAAAGCCAGCAGCACACCAGGACGTTGTTCGCACATCTGGCTCAACCTAGGTTTAAGAGACGAGGTTCGGGGTTTTACCACAGAATGAGCATACATAGGGACATTATATATTCCGACCTGTAAAACTACGAAGCGAAGGCGGCGTCCCTGGCTTCGGGATTTTTCGGGGCTCCAAGTTTTCAAAACTGAGGCTTTGTAGCAAGCCGTGCCGATCATCTCAGGCTCTTTAAGCTAAGGGTCTATACGGCCTTAGGGCTTAGGATGTTCACTTCATTCAAACATAACATGCGGAGATGCCAGGGCACCAAGAACTTTTTGATTGCTGACGTCGCCGTCAGTGGGGAGGCCATGCCGCGGCAGAAAAGGCCACGAGTCAGGACGGTGCCTCGAAGAGCGACACACAACAACGAAGAGATAAGGCAGATCTCGGGTCTAGGACCCCCCAAGCCCGCGGATGCCCAAGCTATACACACACAGAGCTTAGATACAGTGTCTGGTGCAAAAGCATGCAGTCATGCATCCCGCTGCATCCCCGTCACGAGGTTCAACTGTTGGTTCATGCGCCCAAAGGACTCGAGATCGCCCAACAAACAGCGAATTGAAAACCCGGGTCCTAGCACCTTAAACCCTATGGCTTCCGACTCGGAAGCCATAGGATGCGAAGCCACAGGCTTCAAGCTGCATTTTCCGCTAGAATCCGCTAGAATTGCTATATATGTTGGGCTACTCTACTGTGGTTGTATGGGATTTTGGAAGACCAATGAAATACGTAATGCAAAGACTCCTACATCGTTGTGGGAATCGGGAACAGAAGCACACTACATAGCGAACTGGGATTCGCCTTCCATCCAAGATAGAAGCTCGTCGAGAACCTTGTCTACAGAACTTAGCTGTGGCAAAGATCCAAAATTCAGCAGGGCGGCTCTGCGATGGCCGTCTTTGGGCCGTGCACAAAGCTCCTTCGAAAGGCTTTTTCGGATTGCTGTTCATGCAGCTGCAAGGGAATCCTAAATAAAGTTTGGAATTGAAACGCTGCAATGCCTGGTGTCCAGGACACTAAACTAAACCCTGGAACTTACACCCCGAATCCGCCGNNCCCCCCCCCCCCCCCCCCCCACCTCTAAGCCCCGCTTAGGCTCCCGTTCATGAAGCGACAGGTCTGGTGCTTCCATCTCGTTGGCAACTTCCACCTCTGCCCCTTGGCCCAACACCACGTCTGCTGCTTCACGTCGAAGTCGCTGCAAGTTCGCTTGCAACAGAAGCTGGGCTGACGCCTCGAAGCGTGTGGACCCCTGCTGCCAGGTCGTCAGGAAGCACGTCCACAGATCGGGGCAAAGAACTCGCTGCGCAGGGACTGGCGGCAGCGGCAGCAGTCGTGCGGAAGCAGTCGAGGATGTCCGTTGTGATCAAAAGGCAGAACCCAATCTAAACACCCGCAAACCGAACCTTACACCCCAAGACCCC